TCTAGGGTAGGGTTGTGCATGCGCTGTTGGACAAGATGCAGCGACTTCTACCCGGGATCGGAATAAATCCAGTCCTGTTCCTATGGGGAATTGTCCGGAGTATTTGAGTGACTAGGATTGATTCTTCAGTTGATTGCTCAATTGAGGTAGCAGAATTGTCTTTGAATATTGTTTTCATGCTCAGTTGAGCCTTCTGCTTCCTCACTCTCATAGTGTTCACTCGCTCACTCACTCTCGGCTTTGTCTCTTGGGTAGGCTCAGTTGGGTTTACTAAGCCATTGAGACTTATCTCTCATTGATCTCTTTGATAGGAGTACTCAGTAGGATGCATTTGACGTTGTTTGGCGCTCGGGAAGAAAACTTTGTAACTCCCCCTCAAAAGGTGCATCATTGAGTTGATTCTTGCATTGATCATTGTGTGGCGCCAGGAGGAAATAGAGATGTTCCTCCTCAAAATTTGCAAGTAGTGTTGTTGTTATCTGGGGACTAAAGTAGGAAGCTCCCCCTTGGAATGTGTTTTCTTCGTTGTATGGCACCAGGAGAAGTGAAAAAGAAACACTCCCCCTCAGAATATGCACTTGTTGACTTTCAGCTCAGTGGAGTAGTATACACGCCAGTACTCTCCTTCATAATGTGCACACTAGCTCCACCTAAAGAATGATTTGTCTTGAATATGTGCGCTGGGAGCATTTGTTAAACTTGTTTGGAAGCTCATAAAAATATCTTCATCGCTTCCTCTTGACGTATGATACGTCCTGCGTTTGTGTGTGGGTTCTGAATTGAGGTGTTCAGAAGCCTTTCAAGGCCATCGGGTTCTAGACTGATGTATCTAGAAACTCTGTTGTAGTGCGGGTTCTGAGCTGAGTTACTCAGAAGCCATATGTTGTTGCTCAACAGCTCAATTTCCCATTATGTGTGTGGAGCAAACATATCAGGTACCACACATGAGAGACACCTTCAAAAGAATTAAGAAACCTTTGGTACTCATTTAAGGATGGGTCCGTCCTTTCTCGCATAACACAAATTATGAAATTTTTTCTTGATTTTTGTTCCTAAACTAGTCTCTTTTGAATCTTTTGGAGAGCTATATGACTGTAATTCTAATTTAGGAATCCATTTTTCAACAATAACGGTTTCAGTGCAGGTGAGTGATGGGATATGATTTTGAAAAGTAAAGATTTTCTCCAGTGATAGACGTTTCAAATGTTTGACTGAATAAACCTTGAGGGGATATTTCAGTTGAACATCATCACAAACATCATAGGTAGAAGATTTAAATCTTTTCTGTTTGGATTTCCCATCACTCACATCACAAAGATGACTTGAAGACTTAGACTGCCCAGTTGCATTAACAGAAGCACTAGAATGAGTTTTCACATGATTAGAACCATCAGTAGAAGACTTAGAAGACTTGTCTGTGTCAGAACTAGGTGACTGGATGCTAGAATTTGAGCAAGAAGCTTTGAAATTACTACAAGACTTGGTAAAAAGAGATTTTGATTTTTCAGAAAACATTTTGAGTCTTGCAGCCTCCTTTTGAGTTTCTTTGAAAATCCAGGCCATCCTCTTCTCTTGGCGTTTATTGAGAACATTACCTTTCGGTTTTTCAAAATGAGAGAATGAGGATGAGCCGTTTTCTTTAGAAGCCTGTTGAGAAGGAGATGAGGTAAAGTCCCTTTTTCTTGAAAAAAGATTTTTCTTTTTGTTCTTTTCGAAAAGGGAATTATCAGGAGTTTTCGAGCCTTGAGAGGATTGATCAGTTAAATCTGAAATTTTCTTCAAAAGATTTTCCTTTTCAGATTTAAACTTTTCTCGTTCTTCTTCAAAAGAAGAATGGAGATCGGCCATTTTCTTTATAATTGGTGGAAAATATGGTTCAGAAACCTTTGAAGTGGAGGCTTCTTCCCCATTGGACACAGTTTGATTTTCAGGAGGAGAGAGGGCAACATAGTCATCAGAAAGAGGAATTTGTCTAGTAGCATAGCTGTCATTAAGAGCAGTATAATCGAAACTAATTTCAGCTTTAGCCCTATTTTTCCTTTTCTCCTCTTCCTCCTCAATTGTTTCAGAAGCACTAGTAAATTTCATCAGCTTAGTTAACCCTAAGTTCATGTACCTTATGTCGTACAATTGAATACAATCAACCTTTTTCAAGTTTTCAGGGTTTTGAAAGCCAAGTCCTTCTCTAGGATTGTAAAATTCAGTGTCCTTTGGTTTGTTGTTAAGCAGAAAAACAATTTGTTCTGATTGGCCTCTCTTAGCAAGAATATCCTCTAACTCCTTTATTTTTGAATAAAGACGACAACATTCCTTGTTAATTATTTCAAAATGGGTAACAGCTTCAGAACGTTTTTGCTTGTTTTCATCCAGTTCCTTGGTTAATTCACAGACAGTTTGCTTAAGTTTAGCTACTTCAGACTCTAAACTAGCGACTCTATCTCGTGAATCTTTTAAGCGAACAGATTCAAAAGCTTTCTCTCTCGCTAGATTTTCCAGAACACTTTGGTTGTTAGCAAGTCTGTCTTCAAGTTCCTTTATTTTATTGGAATAAGAAGTACTTACCTGGAACTTGTCAGATAATGTGGCTGATCCGTTGCTTGAGGGCATTGATGAGTTGGAGTTGGAACTCATTGATGATTGTCGGAGAGGGATCCTTTAGAAAATAGCTTTGACCAGCTTTTTCTTTTGTGAGAAAAAATAGTCGTAAACCTTGAGATTTAATTAATAATTTTTTTTAAATCTCAAGGTTGACTCTTGGAAGCTTTGACTGCAGAGTTGAACTTTGGTGTTGAAGATTTGAGCTCAAAAATCGAAATGGACTCAAAATTGGCTCTTGAAGTGGGAGTTTTTTTAAAAAAACGTACTTATCCAAGTGTAGGAAAAAGTAAGCTTGATAACTTATCCCACACCTAAACTCCTTGGAAACTTTTGAGCATATATATATGGAACACTCCTTCCTTATAATCAAAGTGAGAATGAGAAGAGGGGAGCTCTCGCGCACTACGTATAATTTATTCTACATATGTAATGTGGAGTTGCAGATTTTATGCATCTGCAGATTTCTTTATTTTTCATTTATTGAAAAAATATAAATATTTCATATTTATATTTTGTACTTTTGTTTTATTTTTATTATATTTTTATACTTTTTGTTTTATTTCTATTTTTCGTAATTTTGACGTTTTTAATGGTTGGGGGGGGGGGGGGGATTAAACAATTCAAACGGGTTCAAGGGATTATTTGACCCCTTAAGTTACCACATTACATGCACAGTTGGCACCCTATCAGGTGACGTAGCAGTGATCGGATGGTAACATGCAAAAAGTGAAAGTTGAATATTTTTATCGAGTCCAGGGTGTCAATTGAAACTTTTCTTAGTTCAGGGGCAAATTGAGCAATCCAAAAGGCACGGGGGCTTATTTGACTCTTTAACCAAAATCTTATCATAGTCACTCCACAATCCACATTTTAGGTGTAATATATGTGCATTTGAAAGCTGGCCTATTGTTTATTTCAGTGAGGATAGTCTTTGTTCTTGAAACATACCACTTATGTTCTCTTTAAAATGAAACATTGGACTTTTTGCACTATTCACATGTTTTACTTTGACTCTATTTTATTTATTAATGTTTTATAAATTAAATTTCGTAAAAAATTGTTATTGTGTGAGATATGCCCAGATACAACAGTCGAATAATCTAATAATATAGAATAGTATTTAAAACAGTAGAAGAGAAATTTCATAAATAATGTATACCGTGTATATAGAATGATGTATTCATGAACAATTACACAGTACTCGAACGTATCAGCTAGAGAGAGAAATTCTAGTCTACTGGCTCTACAGAGAATAATATGCGGAATAGAATGTGTAGAGACTTCAAGTTCTAGAGAGAGAGTTTCGAGAATGATATGGCTATTCTAATTGTGAAACCCTCTTTTTCTCTCTTTCTAATCTAACGTGAGAGCTCCAATAATGATGTGTGAGGCTATTAGGAATCGGGAACTCTCTAGCATGCTCGGTCCATACTGCCTTTATTTATAGGCATATGGCCGAGCATCCTAATTACAATAGGATGGGCCGAAAAGGTCTAATTAAATGGCCCCTAATTAAATACTTAGCCCACTAATTAAATCCTAATTAAACAAAGATAAATCTAATTAAATTGAACACAATAAAATATATCCTAACAGTTATATTCCTCTCATTTTAAATTGTTAAAATCTAAATTTTTTATTTTTTTATTAATAAATAATGAAAGATATTAATGGTCAAACTTGTGTGTTGTCAAAAGTGAAAAGTAGATCGTCACAATTAAAAAAGAACGGACCAAGTAATAGGGTGTGTATGATACCCCTCCTCTACAAAATTTCTCATTTCTCGTATAATATATTGTAAAATCCACTAGATTGATACAATTTTTACTATACAAATAATTTTGATATTAAAGTTTTCAGAATAAAAAAATGGTTATAATATATTTGTCAATACACGCAAATGAATACATACTTGGGCTATGAAATTGTTGGTCTAAATAAAAGATTTATTACTATGTATTTTTGAATGATCTGATCCGATATTTTTCGGTCTCAAAATCTAAACCGGTTTAGTAGACATTTGAATGATACTACCTCCGTCCCACTAACATTGGGACAAGAGAGGGTGACATGGTTGTTAAGAAAAGTGAGTTTATATGATTGATATTGAATTGATAAAATAAAAAAAAAGTAAAAATGATCTATAGTCACACAAACTTTATCAAATTTGGTATGAGATAATCTTAGTGGGATTTCCCGGAAAAAAATGAAACAATCTTAACGAGACGGAGGGAATATGGGTTTGGTTTGGGGTTCATGTCGAAGTGAAACGAAGTAACATTTGACTAGTCAATCCCAATCAATGACATGACCCGTTCCCAAAATGGAAGGACGAAATTAAGAGAGTGACACTTCCGATCGTGGTACAGAAGCTCTATCCATTTTTAACATATTAAATAATCTTTTGTCACACATCTACTGAGCTACGCCCAACTTAAGCTCGGGGTCACCATCAAATCCGGGTCATCTTAATTGAATGCCTTCAAATCCTTGCGGGTCATTTGAACATCTCCTTCTTAATCACCTTATCCATAACATTACGTCCACTCATCAGCTTCCACCAATCGCCATTTATGGCAAATGTTTCTATCTTCTAGTTTTCATGCCCAGAAGCGAATTGTGGCAGTCTTAAAACGTCCGCAGTTCATTAATTTCAAGCTTAGACTTTCATGCTGGAAACCTAGTTCCATGTTTGATGTGCATGACAAGTCGATGCATTTTCTTATACAAGCCTGTGATATTAGGTCTCACAATACGAGATGATAATAAAGGGGCTGTTCCGGAGACGGGAAAGGTGGAACCCAGTTCACCCAACTTATGGATCTTTCTGGGGGGTTGAATTCGGAATCGGGTGTGGAGTCGGGTGGGGGCCCGGATTTGGACCGGAAGTGATTGGTTATGTTGGATCCGGTTGCGGAGCAGGGTTTTGTATAGGAATCACTCTGGTCGGTTTCGGGATTGGCCTTCCCGCCAATTCTTTCTTCAAATCTCCTTCCAATGGTAATTGATAAACATCTCATTCTTGAGTTTGCTCTTGTATCTACAGTAGGAAACGTTGTACATAGCATGGTAATCTCATTTAGGGCCCGTTTGGTAAGATTATTTGGCTGAAATGGCTAATTCTATTAAATTTTTTAAAAAACATATGCTTTGAATTAATGTTGTTTTATATATAGGGAAAATGGTCAAATAAGCCCTCCAACTTACATAGTCAAATAAGCCTTTATATAGGAGGCTCTGTTCGGCCCGTCACCATTTGGGTCAGTTCCCGGTGGAATTTTTTTATGAATTTTTTTGAGAATCTTATTCATTAAGTCTACTTTACTAATACCAAATTTCAGGTAACAATTCAATCAAAAAGGCATTCAAATGAATTCTTGAAGATAATTGTGCTTTTAACTGCGTAGTTATCTTCAAGAATTCATTTGAATGCCTTCCCGGTTGAATTTTTAACTGAAATTTGGTATGAGTAAACTAGACTTAATGAGTAAGATGCTCAAAAAAACTCATCAAAAAATTTCACCGGGAACCTCCCCAAATGGCGACGGCCGGACAGAACCTCTTATATAAGGGCTTATTTGACCTTTTTACGTAAGTTCGAGGGCCTATCTGGCCCTTTTCCCTTATATATATGGTATGTATTTTGATTCTACTTTGAATTCAATTATGACTTATATAGAGTCACGTTTAAGTTTGCTAGTTAATAAGGGAAAATGGAAACTAATCATCCAACCTTTTAGCGGTCTTCTTATAATAATTTCACCTTTTGATTATTCATGAATAATCCAACCTTTGCATCCCATCTTCATTCACTGGTCCCTGGTCGCTTTATGATCTGTTATTCAAGTTATTTTCTTATCTTTGCAAAACATTATGTGATCATAAGGTGGGAATTATGGTATAATGTTTTACAATGATAAGAAAATAACTTGGAATAACAGGTCATAAATCGATCAGGGACCAGTGAATGAAGATGGGGTGCAAAGGTTGGATTATTCACGAATAATCAAAAGGTGGGACTATTGTAAGAATACCGCTAAAGTATTGGATTATTAGTTTCCATTTTCCCTTATATATTAGGCATCTATAAATGTTTTAGTTACATTTAGGTAAATTTCCCTTTCACAAAATAGGTTTCAGCCAAATAAGTTTGAAAAAATTCCACTTTTGGTCTCATAACTATTATACCACTTCCACATTTAGTTCCTTACTTTCAGATTGTCCACATTTAGTCCGTGACCATTATCCCCTCACCACCTCTCGTCATTCCGGCCAAAAATCTTGTAAATTTAGTCCACTTCTCAGCCTTAGAATCAGTCTTTGCATTAAATTTTGTATCAGGTTGGGTTTTTCATATCAGTCTTTCTATGAAATTTGGTTTTTCATACCTAAAATCTGCATTAAATTTGACGGAATTTTGGCCGGAAGGACGAGGGGTGGTGAGGGGATAATGGTCACAGACTAAATGTGGACAATCTGAAAGTAAGGAACTAAATGTGGAAGTGGTATAATAGTCATGGGACCAAAAGTGGAATTTTTTCAATAAGTTTAAAAGTGATAGTGAAATGTTTTACTTTGGACTGATTTCACTGCATACTAGACAAAGTAAAATACCCATCAAACATACTTTTACTTTGCTTAAATAATCTAGATCAAACCAACAAACTTCATACCAAGTGAAAACATCTTGGATTCTAAGTAACTAGGTTTATTGTAAAAATATTGTTTCTGTTTTCTTTTTAGCACCCATTGCTGTAAAAGGATGTGCTTCAGAGGTTTCTAAATCAAAGGGAGCTGATGGTTGGATGAACTTGGGTCCACTGATTTCCGATCTACATCAGAAAATAGGAAGCAATTTTACTACTTCAATGGTGAAAGATTCTGTGAAGAATACCACAAATGTAACTGATATGAAAACTAAAATGTTTTTACTTACGAAGGGTTTTTTGGATCAATCGGAGGTGATCAGCAAGCATGGAAGCAAAGGTAGTACCCTTAATGTGCATATAATATATCCTTTTTCAATAGGAATCTTGTACTATCATTTTCTCTTGTCAGATCCGAGCAGCTAAGTCTCTTAGAGAACAAGTAGAGTAAAAGAAAAACCAACATGTTAATTTTCTCTTGGGCAACTATGGAATGAAAAGTTTGGTTCACTTTTTCAAATTTTATGTGTGAAATGCGGGCTCAGACCTTTTAAATTCTTATTAAAAATTTGCCCTTTGAAGTTTTTTGTTTCTCAGAGATAGAATTCCCATAAGAACTTTTTTTGCCTCCCAATCAGTAAATCATGCCTTGCCCATCAAGCATGACATAGAGCGTTTTTGCATATGTACATTGATTTTTTAAACTATATCTTAAAACATAATTGCGGGCATCTTGTACAGTTTAAGTGTAGTTTTACCATCTTTGATGATAAAAATGTACCTGCATGAGTGCTGTATCTTCATTTACTATTCCAGAAACTTGAGAAGGCATGTTTTCACGCTTATAGGTTCCACAAATTGATGGCCTGATGAACATTGTTCAAGGTAATATTACAGGGAAACAATGGGGATAAAGACTGACATAAGAGGTTTCTTAAAACTGATCGGCATGCTTCTGTAATTATAAGAATTATTATTTTCCTTCAATGTAATATTGGAATTTGGAAGTACTCCCCCATACTCCCATCTTGTCCTTTTCATTTTACATTTTGATTTTCATTGTGGCATACATTGTTTGGTTCTCTTGATCAGAATTTAGCGTAAAGATTCTTATAATATATGCTGTTATAGTGTAATCTCGAAAAAGAAGTGTATTTCCGTGAGAACAATAGTTTATTTAGAGGGTGCTTGATAAGTATTGCACTATGTTTTCCCCCCCAACTTATAGTCATTGAGCAAAACCCTTCACAAATAGGAGGTGTGTAACACATTAAGGGCTCATTTGGTAATGCTGAAATTGGTTAAATATGTTAAAATTGATGAAACTCTGATTGAATTGGTATACATAGTATTTTATTAATCAACTAAAGAACAAATTATATCAAAAATAGCTAAAATGGTCTTCTACAGACTATAGTAACCTTGTCAATTCAGGCAGAGAAGTAACTTCAATTTTACTCATTTTAATTATAACTTTTATTATCATACAATTTAATAATCAAAAGTTAGTATTTGTTTAACAAATTGTGTGAAAATGGGACTACCAAATGAGCTCTAATTCTTTTTATTGAACCCATTCTCATTTTCACTCCTTACCATCTACCAAGCATACCTTTAGCCTAATTGTTTTCATTGATCATACTAAAATGGACAGTGATTAGCTAGGTAGCACCGATACGGGTACGCGGAAACGGGTACGGGAATACGACAAACCAAAAAAAGTAGGATACGAATATAGGGCCATATTTATAATTATTGAAAGTTATGGAGGTGTATTTATAAATATTAAAAGTTGTAGAGGTGTATTTATAAATATTAAAAATACCATATTTTTTGAAAAAGTATACATATATTATCCTCTTACATCTACCCATTCATGACATTGAAGCATTTTACATTTTCAAGATATTTAGAAATAAATTCATATTTTATCTTATATACACTAGTGTATCTTGAAATATAATTATAGTCAATAAATCATTAATTTAAAATGAGAAATAAGTCAAACAACTTAAGTTTTGAAATTAAAAGTGCAAGTACTCAAAGTTCTAGAATAATGAAAATAGAAAACAATATTTTAAAAGTTCTAATACATGTTTCCGCTGGAGCTATTAATTTCCAGGGATAATTAGAATTAGGGATAGGAGGATGAGTAAATTAAAAAAAAAGGATGAGTAAATTAGAGATGATTGAATTAGGAATAGGCCCACTAGTTGTGTACCACATAAAAGCAATGTAAAAATTATTTTTAACTTTTCATTTTTTAAGAATTTCATTATGTAAATTTTGGGTGTTTTTTAAGTGGATATGTGTATCCGTCGGGATACGAGTATCCGAAATTTTAAAATAATTACCCAAAAAAATGAAAACTTTTAAAAATTGCAGATACGACTCCGGAACATACGGTACAAGTATCCTAGAGTATCGGATACAGGAACGTTTCCGATACATCGATACAGTACCCTACTGAAGTATATGTGCTTCATAGGTGATTAGTGAACATGTGCATTTGAGGTTGTGAAATGGAGAGAGGCTACACTTTATCACCATCACTACTTTGTCCTTCTCAGTTCTCACACGGACTTCTTATATTTCTTTTACATTCATCTCAAAAGATCTTTTTACTTTCTTTAGGATATGTTTGGTAGTTGGGTTTTGGAGGGGAGAGGATGGTTAACAAGGGTTTATGATCCTCTCTTTCATGTTTGGGAGTTACAAAATATGGAGGGGATGCTTTTGGAAGACTTTTATAACCCTCCAAAACCCTTCAAATCCTCAATTTTCAAGTTCCTCCAAATTAGGGATTTTGAAGGATAACTAATTAAATGACAACTTTAGCTCAATTTTAAATAAATACAAACTCAATAATTTGAATTTGTCACATATGTGAAGTGATATTAATTATAATTCATCCAAAACATTTATCTTTTCAAACTTGATACTCCCAAACAAGAAGAAGGGTTTTCAACCCTTTCCCTCCCCTTCCCTTCCTACGATTAACCTTCAAAATCTTTTCATCCCCTTCCCTTCAAACTCTCAAACATGCCTTTAGGGTACGTTTGACAATTGGGTTTTGGGGGGAAGGGGATGGTTGACAAGGGTTTATAGCTTTCCCTTTCATGTTAGGGAGTTAAATAATATGGAGGGGATGGTTTTGGAGGACTTTTGTAACCCTCCAAAACCCTTCAAATGCTCAATATTCAAGTTCCCCCAAATTGGGAAATTTTGAAGGATTACTAATAAAATGACAACTTTAACTCAATTTCAAATAAATATAAACTCAATCATTTAAATTCATCATATATGTGAAGTGATGTTAATTATAATTCATCCAAAACCTTTATCTTTTCAAACTTGATACTCCCAAACAAGGAGAGGGGTTTCCAACCCTTTCCCTCCCCTTCCCTTCCAATGACCGACCTTCAAAACATTCTCCACCCCTTCCCTTCGAATTCCGAAACATACCCTTAGTTTTGGATGTGTTTGGGAGTTGAGTTTTGGAGGGGAGGGGAAGGTTTATTGGGGTTTATGACCCTCCTTTTTATGTTTGGGAGTTTAAGAAATTGAAGGGGATGGGTTTTGGAGGGTTTTATAATCCTCCAAAACCCTCTAAATGCTCAATTTTTAAGTTTCCCCAATTTGGAGAGTTTTAAAGGGTAATTAATAAAATGATAATTTAAGTTTACTTTAAAATGATTATCAATTAAATTATTTGAATTTGTCATATCTCAAGGTGATTTTAATTATAAATATTCAAAGACTCTCTTCTTCCAAATTTATTACTCCCAAATACAAAGAAGGGTTTCATCACCTTCCCCTCACTTTCCCCTGCAACAACATACCATCAAAACCTTCCCCTCACCTTCCCTCCAAACTCCCAAACATACCGTTTCTTAAGGAAACCATTGGATGATAAACGTCCTTTCTTATCATTCGAATACTACTCCCTCCGTTTCTGAAACAAGTTCCACCTTTCCTTTTCGGGCAGATTCAAAATTAAGTTCCACTTTCAAACATTTCCTTATTTGGCAAATTATCTACATCAAAACAGTGTCAAACAGTGTTCAAACAGTGTCAAACAGTGTCAAACAGTGTTCAAACAGTGCACTCCACAGTAAAGTCAGATTTATTTTCTTAATATGTGTGAAGTCAAATGTGGAACTTGTTTCAGAAACGGAGGGAGTATTTAGTTTCTTGATAAGTGTCAAAAACAAACATGAACCAATTCGGGTAGGAAGGACAAATGTCTTTCATTGATGTATTCAAACAAATGAATTATAATTGCACTAGCATGTTAGATACTGATAGAGTTTAATCCAACTACGAGAGCTAAATCTACAAGAGCAGATGGAAATTTGGCAGTGTGAGGCAGTGTTCTATTGATCAATGTTTCGATCCCCCTTTGGGAGGTTTACAAGTCGTATTTATAGGCTAAGGAACTAGTATTACAAAAGGAAACTGATACAATAAATGCTATTAATTGCGCATTACTTCGAATAGGACTCTTGTAACGTCTTGGCCGTTGTGCAATGATTGTTCCTTTATTCCCACATTCCTGTCGTTAACTCCTGCCAGCTGCCGTTCTAATGATAGCGTGCCACGCCAGCCCTAAGAATATCCCAACCTCACTAGAACTCCGCCCATGCTCGAGGTTTGCTTTCCAGCCTGGCCTGGCTGTGGGTTCCTCTCGTGGGCTTGATCCCTAGTTTGGCCCAGTGGCTATCTAACATTAATCCCGTTTGAGGACCAACCCCGCTAATGTTCTGCATCCCGTTATGGGCTGGATTGTATAATTGGGCCATGGTCGGTGTCCATGGTACCATCACGAGCCTCCTACTCTCTAAAATCAGCGAGGCTGGATTTTAGGAGAGTAAATTGGAGCGTACAATTTCAAATTTGGAATCTTTTGGGAGAATTGTAACGCTGCTTGCATTAAATGCGCCCGACTTGACATAGGCCTGCAACCCGGTACATTTCCCGAGCCGACTTACTATCTCCAGCACTCAAGCGTCATCATTGTGGTTCCCAAGCGGTTTTCAAGCCCTAATTTCTTGGCTATTTAAACGCTTATTGTCCCTCATTATGCTCTTTCGCAATCTTCCTTCCGCTTTAGCATTCGTCTTCTTGGTTGGGAGCTTAGGCCGCGAAACCCTTTTCCTCCATCTTCAAAACTTCATCAGGTTAGTTTCCCTGATGTCTTCTTCGAGTTCCGTCCCTCTGCACCATGTATTTCCTGAGGCAGGGGCCATCTCCAACCGGCCCCGTATCCCGGTGGACCAGGATGGGAGGGAGACACACTTCTTCCTTTCTTGCGATTACGCCTGACAGGTCCCGGCCGTCGCTTTCTCCGGGTCCTAGTTTCGTTTGCTCCCGCCCTACCCCCGGGCAGAATATTGTAGAACACCCTTCCCCTCTTCATTTTGGGGTGCACCTGGCTAGTTTGCAAGTAGGCCTTCGATTTCCTCTCCACAATGCCCATTTGAGTGTTTTGGGCTACTACGGCGTGATTCCGGGTCAATTTTCCCCAACTACCCACATGTTCATAGCCGATTTCCTTGCCCGATGCCTGCATTTAGGTATTCGTCCCGCAATCGATCTCTTCCTTCATTTCTTTCATTCTGTTCGGCCTGGTGGTTCTGAGTCCCCAGGGTACCTCTCGATTTCTCAACGGGCAAGCCATCGTTTATTCGAGGCCAAGTCTTATCCCGACTCCTTCAAGGAATGGAGGCAGAAGTGGATATGGGTCACCCCTGCGGATGGGAGGCTGCAATTTGAGAATAGGTGGGGGAGATGATTCGGAAATGGGCCATGCCTTTTCTGTCAGAGAGCAATGCGGAAGCTGCCAAGCTGATCGCCAATGGTGCACCATTTCTAATGGGCCATTACGTAGATGAGGTCCGGGTGGTTGTGCTTACCTTTTTGCCAGGTCGGCTTTGTCTGAGTTGGCGTCTTCTTTGAATTTTTTATTTTCTAGATACCCCCTTTCTGACTTGATTCGTGTTTGTTGCAACGGGTGAGAAGATGACCTCCCGGTTGGAACGGCTTGCGGCGAAGGCTGGTGTCACCCCAGTTCCTTAGTCCCTGCCAAGAAGATCCAGACCCGGGGAAGTGCTGGGGCCACCCCGGAGAAGTCAGGGGGATCCGCCCCCGGGGATAGTGTCGGGCCTTTGAATACGCTGGTCGTTGACCCTCAGCCCCTTAGTGATAAGGGGGGTGGGAAGAGGCTGGCACTCCGA